AGGAGGAGGAGGAGGAGGAGGAGGAGGAGGAGGAGGAAGAGGAGGAAAAACAGCAGTTTGTGGTCGCCGACTGCGGCCACGTCCGCTCGGTACGGACACGGGCAGGCTCAGGAGAACATGGACCGGCGAACGCCGAAGGCGAGCGCCATGTGGCGGACGCTACGCGGCGAGCCCCCCTGTCAACCCCCCATTGCCACCTCCGTGCGCCCCGGGGTCTCCGCCAGAAGGTCCGCGACGCGGAGCAGCCGGCCCCCTTCTGGACGAGGAGGCTCCGGAGCGGAGGCGGGCTCTCCGCGAAGGGGGGGCGCCCAGCTCGTGGGGGGCCGCGCCGAGCTGAGCCGCCACGGCAGGTGCCAGTGCTGTGCCGCGCGCGCCGCCCGGAGGCCGCCCGCCGCCCGTCGCCGCCGTGGCCGCCGTCCGCCGCGGGGGCAGGCCGTCGGCCCAGGCGTCGTCCGGCGGGGGCGACGGCGGAGCGGGCCGGGGCGCCGCTGGCCTCCGCTGCCGCCGCTGCCGCGTCTGCCAAGGCCTCCATCGCAGCGCCCCCGCCGCCGTGGGCGCCGCCGAGGGCGGGCCGCAGGCGGGGCGGCGTGGAGCACGGGCGGGGGCGGCGCCGCCAGGAGGGCGACTGCGGAGCGAAGGAGGCCCTCGGCGGCGCGGAGGATGCCTCACGATCCGCGCCGCGCGAAAGCCTAGCGGCCGCATGCGCCGCGATGAGGGCCCCGCGGGCAGCCTCGAGCCGCGTGGCAGCGCGAGCCCGCTGCGTCGGCGGCATCAGCAGCGACGCGGGAGGCGCGGGCGCGACCCAGCGGGGCGAGGCTTGAGCGAAATGCCGACTGAGGAGGAAGAGCAGGAGGAGGAGGAGGAGGAGGAGGAGGAGGAGGAGGAGGGGATGGAGGAGGAGGAGGGCCTGAGGAGGAGGAGGAGGAGGAGGTGGATGAGAGGTGGTGGGAGGAGGAGGGGAGCAAGAGGAGAAGGGGGAGAAGGAGGAGGAGGAGGAGGAAGCGGAGGAGGGGGAGGAAGAGGAGGAGGAGGAGGAGGAGGAGGAGGAGGAGGAGGAGGAGGAGGAGGAGGAGGAGGAGGAGGAGGAGGAGGCAGCAGCAGAAATCCGCCCGCAGGACGGCGTGGCTTCCAGTTCTGCTGGTCGCCGTCGCCCTGCGGCCTGCTTCGGCGCTGACTCTCCAGCAGGCCGGCGGGCGTGGGCCGAACTCATACGGTCGAACCTATAATTCACAAACCTCTTCCCGAAAAGCTGGTCCAATGTTTCGTAACCAATCTGCCAGAGAGCTGGCCCAGCTTTCGAAGCATGTTCGTCTCTCCAGCATCAACAGAAACGTATGGCCCAGCTTTGTTCTAAAACATTCCAGCTAAGCGGGCAAGGTCTCTTGACTGATGTTCTTCTTGGTCACGGTTTCGCTCGTTTTCGGCTGTACCTCTTCCTTCTCCCTCCGAGCTTCGAGCTGCAGACCTTTACTTATCCGAAGAGCTGTGGCCCTTGTCTTAAGTCGAGCCTGTCCCTCTACAGGAGGGATATTCAAAAATAGTAAACCAATAGTCTGGGGACAATTGTTTTAGTATGTTTTGGCATCTTTATGCGTATGTTTGAATATGTTTTATTTTTCGCCCAACATCCCCCTGTATGGGGGGACAGGCCCGACCTAACACTACTCCCAGTCATCGCCTGGTGGGGTGGAGGGGGTGCACAGTGTAGCCCAAATGGAGTGGGGAGAGGGGAGGCGACCCATCAGGAGAGCGGGTGCGCGGAGCGGATGACACGAGGAGAAGTAACAAGGGGACGAGAGAGAGGGGAGGAGGAGGAGGAGGAGGAGGAGGAGGAGGAGGAGGAGGAGGAGGAGGAGGTGTGGAGGAAGCGCGGAAGGAGGAGGAGGAGGAGGAGGAGGAGGAGTAGGTGAGAGGGAGGTGGAGGAGGAGGGGGAGGAGGAGGAGGAGGAGGAAGAGGAGGAGGAGGAGGAGGCAGGAGGGAGGAGGAAGAGGGCGGGAGGGAGGGGGAGGGATTGGAAGGGAGGGAAGGGTAAGGTGGAGGAGGAGGGAGGAGGAGGAGGAGGCGGTGGAGTGAGGAGGCGGAGGAGGAGGAGGAGGAGGAGGAGGGAGGAGGAGGAGGAGTAGGAGGAGGAGGAGGAGGGGAGGAGGTGGATGGCAGATGGAGGATGGGAGGAGGATGCAGGAGGATGGAGGAGGATGGAGGAGGATGGAGGATGGAGGATGGAGGATGGAGGAGGAGGAGGAGGAGGAGGAGGAGGAGGAGGAGGAGGAGAAGGAGGAGGAGGAGCCAGGGGGAGCCAGGGGGAGCCAGGGGGAGCCACAGGCCCAACGGAGGAGGGCGGGAGAGGGGAGGGAGACGGTCGCCAAGCCAGCCGACGCACCCCCAGAGCACACCCAGGAGGACAAGAAACGAAAGTGGCAGGGAAGAGGGGAAAGAGGGGGCGGGGGAAAAGCGAGGGTGCTCTCGGGAAAGAGGGGGCGAGGGGAAAGGAGAGGGTGC